GGGGGGGGGGGGGGGGGGGGGGGGGGGGGGGGGGGGGGGGGGGGGGGGGGGGGGGGGGGGGCGTCACCCGAACTTAATTTTCAAACTAAATAATAAAAAATAATTAAATATTAAGAAAACAAAAAAAGAAAAATTGTAATAATAATTATAATTTTGGATGGATAATGCGTAATTAATTTAATGATTTTGACCAGAAGTCACAGCTCGGTGATTTTGGATGCATTCAGCAAAAAAAGTCAAAAGGCAATTATTATAGCCAATCAGTATTTGACATTTCAAATCAACCACAGCTGTACTTGTTCACACTTCACCATAACTCCACCAATCAATAATTTTTGTTTATTTATTTATTTATTATTATTTCAATTCTATCCCTAAATTCCATTTTATTTCCTAAAAAACCCCATTTATTTTATTTAAATCTTACTAAATTTAGTTTCGTACCACTATGGAACATTCATTAATATTACCACAATCATTAAAATTTAAATTAAACCATGGAAAATACAACTCTTATATATATATATATATATATATATTATGTAAAAAAAAAAAAAAAAAACTCGAGTGTTTAATTTATTGGGTACCTCTGAAAATAGTAGTGGGCTTACTTTATTTCTTTCTTTATCATATTTTATATGATATTTAGATAAATAAAAATAGACAGTAAATATTATTTATTTATTTTTAATTTTTGGGAGAGGGTTTTTACTTTATTTATATACATTAAAAAAAATAAAGAAGAGCCGTAATTCACCAATTTTGGTTTATAATTTTTATATTTTACTTGGGATTTTATAGAGCCAATGAAATTGAAGGTAAGGAAGGAAAATTAATGGCGGACGCGAAGCTTGAAGCTAAGACTGAGCTATGGAATTGGGATCCCATCTCTTAAATTCCTCTTCCTCGAATTTACCCTTTACCCACCACAACTTCACACAACCCTAGATTTTTTTTTTTTTTTTTTTTTTTTTTTTTTTTTTTTTTTTTTTTTTTTTTTTTTTTTTTTTTTTTTTTTTNTTTTACATCTCTTCTTTTCAACCCTCCTTTTCTACTTTCTTCCACCTCCGGAAACTGTAAATTTCCTGCAACTCATGCTTGAAATTTCCCCTTCACCGGAAAACTCCGCCGCCGCCGCCGCCGAGGAGGATGGTGCGGCTTCCTCCGCCGGATTTAAGGAGGAGTCTGACCGGAGCTGGGCTGGAAACCGATGGCCGCGAGAGGAGACCATCGCTTTGCTCAAGGTGAGGTCGAGTATGGACACTGCGTTTAGAGATGCAAGCCTTAAAGCTCCTCTATGGGAAGAAGTTTCCAGGTTAGTTCGATTGGATGATTTTCTGTTCGTTTACTGTGGGAATTTTGTAGAATTGTGGTTTTTCAGTGTTCTTGAACTGGAATTGTTGATTGATTTTCCTGGAAAATTGTTTGGTCTCTGATTTATATTCTATTCTCTTCTGGTTCCAAATTGATTGAATTCTCTGAATCGAAGCTATGGAGTTTTTAACTGAATCTTCTACAACATGTTTGTTAGGAAATTGGCTGAGTTTGGATATAAACGAAATGCAAAAAAATGCAAAGAGAAGTTCGAGAACATTTATAAGTATCACAAAAGGACTAGAGATATCAGATCAGGGAAACCGAATGGGAAAAATTATAGGTATTTTGAGCAATTAGAAGCTCTAGACAATCATCCATTGCCACCTTCCCAAGCAGATTCAATGGAAGAAATCCCAAACAATATCGTTCACAATCCAATTCCATGTTCCATAGTAAACCCAGGTTCAAATTTTGTTGAAACTACCACCACATCGATATCAACTTCGATGACGTCTTGCTCAAGCAAAGAGTCGGGTGGGGCGAGGAAGAAGAAGAGGAAGTTTGTGGAGTTCTTTGAAAGGTTAATGAATGAGGTGATTGAGAAGCAGGAGAAATTGCAAAGGAAGTTCATGGAGGCTTTGGAGAAATGTGAAGAAGAGAGGCTAGCTAGAGAAGAAGAATGGAGAGTGCAAGAATTAGCTCGAATCAAGAAAGAGCGTGAGCGTTTGAATCAAGAGAGATCAATTGCTGCTGCCAAAGATGCAGCTCTTCTTTCATTCTTGAAGATGTTCTCTGAACAGATGGGCACAGTGCCATTCCCTGAGAGCTTGATTTTGATGGAGAATTTAACAGAGAAGCAAGATGATGGTAATGTTGAGAGAAATACCAGCAATCAAGAGAATAATAATAGCAACAATGGGAATTCGAATCAGATTAGCTCGTCGTCCCGGTGGCCGAAAGAAGAGATCGATGCTCTGATTCAGCTTAGGACTAATCTGCAAATGAAGTATCAAGAGAATGGGCCAAAAGGTCCTCTGTGGGAGGAAATGTCACAAGCCATGAAGAAACTTGGGTATGATAGAAGTGCAAAGAGGTGTAAAGAGAAGTGGGAGAACATCAATAAATACTTCAAGAGAGTAAAGGAACGTAACAAAAAACGACCCGAGGATTCAAAGACATGCCCTTATTTCCAGCAGCTCGACGCATTGTACAAACTGAAATCCAAGAAAGTCGTCGTCGAGAACCCAACTAAACCAAATTACGAACTGAAACCCGAGGAACTATTGTTGCACATGATGGAAGGGCAAGAAGAAGAAAGCCACCAACAACCTGAATCAGCAACAGACAATGGGGAAGCTCAGAATACTGATCAGAACCAAGACGAAGACGACGACGACGACGAAGATTATCACATTGTGGCGAAAAACAACAGCAATGAAATGGAAGTAGGCATCTAAAACGTGCATCCATCCTATTGAAACACCTCGCAAGATTGTAAAAAGAAAAAAGGTCAGATCCTTGAGCTCCTGATTTTGATCTCTGTCTATATATATATATAATATGTATATGTATATGTTTATTTATTTCTTGAATAGATGATGATGATACTTCTTGTAGGGAAGAGAGCGAGAGAGAGAGAGAATAAAAGGGGAGTGGTTAGGGGAATTGGAATTGTTTATTGTGTGGAAAAGTTGAAAATGTTTGATTGTTCTTATGTCTGTCTGTGTCTGTATGAATAAAAACCAGCACTGTTCTAGTGTGTAGTAGCCTGTTTGTTTAATCATAATGCAAAGGCTTCATTCATATCTCTCTCTCTTTCTTCTGGGCTTGTTTTTTGTTACCAAAAAGAGAGAATTTAGAACAGAAGTGGTAATAATCATAGCACTCGTGGGGAGTCAGAAGCAGAAAAGTGATGGAACCATTCATATTTGGAATCACTCACTCCTGCATTCAAATTACAATCATTACACCTCAGTTATAGAACCATTCATATTATGTTGCTACATATGACATGAATAATTAAGATTTGGTTAACACAAAGTCGCATCAAATTGATTAGAATTTGAATATTAAAAACCACTTTTTGAGGTTGAAAATAACGCTTTATAATTTGAATTTAAGGTAATTAATGATTCTAATTTAAGTAAAATTTGAAACAACCCAACTAGAGTACAAAGGAAGAGAGATTGCGCATGAACCACATCATTTACCCCATGAACCACCACCCACGTACCTGTGTCTACTCTACAGCTCGCTTATGCTAGAGAAGAGGAAGAACAAGACGACGTGTTTTCAGTCTTTCCAACTATGTTACCTTCTTCTCTGTTTTGGTCGTTTTTCCGAATGGCAAGGATTGGAGATGAACGATACATTTGAAAACAAATCAAATGGCGGTCGGAGGCGTGCACATGCTCGTCCGAGGAATGGATCTGAGACGAGAGAGAAAAGGTTTACATTTTTTGGAAAACGAGTTAAAAAGATGAAATCTGCTAGTTGAAGGTTCGGGTTGGATTCGGTTCGGGTGAGACAAAGCCATGTGAAAATTCAGCACCTCAAAAGAATACACACTACTCATTCAACTCACTTGTGGATACAAACTACTCATTCATACTTACACATGCATGGTTTAGTCTTTGAGACAAGCATATGACTACTGGCAAGATCAACTAGGTAGCATTCCGACACAACGTTGCAGACCACTTGCCACTACATTTCACTGTCTCCCCCTCCTAAGAGAGTGTGAGAGGCAACAATGGGGGCAATGCGGGAGAAAGCCATTCCTTCATACTTCATTTAGCAATACGTAGGCAACATGTTCGAGGGGTTTTCCAAGCACACCATGCCACCAATTGCATGACATCCTAGAGTGCAAGCAACTGAGATGCATTTCGTGACAAAAGGCTTCCAAGTTCATCATGCACCCAATAAGGGCGGCTGATAGAAAGGGACTAACAAGACTCAATGTTACTAGTGCATGAGGTAAACTATGCAAGAACCGATGGACTACGGTTACTCAAAATACTTTGGGACACATCAATGAGGAGGAGATGGCCCCTACAGTTTGATGCCCGAGCATCAAGCCTATAGACCCAAACAACCAAATCACCACTCATGCATCGTACGCTAAAATGAGCTTGGACGACTATCAACTATTCACACCTACCACAAGCGGGAGTGCAAAATCATTGTGCGAAGCCAAACCCAAAACGTCTTGCGCGGTAAAGCCATCAACCATCCTCAAGCCAACCCAAGTTCGAAGGCAACATTGTAACATTCGATGCTCAACGAGGCTCATCTCGCATGCCCAAAGGCGCTTGACACCGTCCCACCATGCATGTTTTGCCACTACACCGTTTTCAAAACATAGGGTTTGCCCAATGATGGGCCAGAGGCATCACCACAACGTCACACACTCAACAAGGTTCATGCTGGATGCCCGAAGGCAACCAGCTCCACCCCATCTTGCATGTTTCGTCATCGTACCAGCCATCAACCATCCTCAAGCCAGCCCAAGTTAGAAGGCAACATCGCAACATTTCATTCTCAACAAGGCTCATGTCGCATGCCCAAAGGCACCCAACACCGCCTCACCGTGCGCATTCCACCACTGCACCCCCGCCGTCTATTGCCCTTGACCTCCGACCACCACCCCCACGCCCCAAGTATATGCCCATGTGCGGCGCATAGTGCTTGAGGCGTGGGGGTGGCGGATGATATAGGGGTATGCCCGTGTCCAGCTCATGGAGACTAGCCACCCCCTATATAGTACATTTTGAGCAATTTTTGGTCTGTTAGGCTTAGATACTATTTTTCTAAACGGTCATACGGTCAAATATCTCAAGTTATTGTTTTAATGGGACATTCTAATGTATCTAGAAATCAAGTTTCATAATTTTTCAACCAATCAATTTTTTTAAATTAATTTTTAAATATTAAATAATAAGAAATTAAAAAAAAATAAATACCATTGTAAAAAAAAAAAAATGAAAGTGTGTGGGAATCATTCTTTCATGTTGGTCCGCTCTTAAGAAAAAAAATTTACAACAAAACGACTACTCCACATGTACTTTCACAATTAATGGTTGATGGATGGGGCGCAGGCGGGGTGGGAGGATGCTCACACGAGGGAGCATGCAGCCGGGGCGAGGCGAGTGAGCGAGCACGTGCGCTCGGGAACACGTGGGTGGGGCGGGGCGCGCGCGGGAATGTTTCGACACCGCCACCGTCTACCGCCCTTGACCTCCGACCACCACCCCCATGCCCCAAACATATGCCCGTACCCAGCCCATGCAGACTAGTCACCCCCCTATATAGTACATTTTGAGGCATTTTTTGTCTGCCAGGCCTAGATACGATTTTTTCGAACGTGTCATACGGTCAAATATCTCAAGTTTTATCCATGAGTTTGATTGATTGGGACATTCTAATGAGTTTAGAAATAAAGTTTATCATTTTTCAATCAACCAAATATTTTAATTAATTTTTAAATATTAAATAATAAGAAGTTACAAAAGAGAGTTACTTTCGCAATTAAACGGGTGATGAGTGTAAAATCAAGGTCACAGTGGGTGTCTTGGTCTAATGCACCTACTCTCGTATCAAAACTCTTCATTTCATTGTTTTAGATAAGCCAAAGAAAAAATAATTAAATTTTACCGGCATCACTCTTTTTTAGTTCCTAAAAATAAAAAATAAAAATTCAAAACAATATAAACATAATAAATGTACATTCACTATTCACTTTTCACGGGTATTGAGTTTGATGATATTTTTATAGTCCAAGGCTTTATACATGTTTTTACTTTCCACCGATGTTAGGGGTGATGAATTGTTGTATAACCTTCAGGGCTTTATACATGTACTCACACCTCGTGGGTATTGTTGGGTGTGATGATTTTTTATGGAGGTAACAACATCCAATATTTGACCGTATGACACGTTTTCAACAAACATACGGTCAAATATCTTTGGTTTTCAAATCGTATAATTTTTATTATAAATATATACTATCATCTTTAAATCTTCCATGCATGTATTATGGGTCTCTCAAAATGATGAAAACGCCATGGAATTCACTTTTCTTCTAAGATGTGTAAATCTCGAAGAAGAAGAAAAGAAATCACGACAATGGGTTCAAAACTCCGACCTCTTTGGAACACAAAACCCCGATTAGTCTCTGGTGTCCAATGACGCCGAGGAAACCGAAACCTCGGTCGTTGAAGAAACGGAAGGCGACGGCAGAACGACGAACATTACAATTATAGTTATTGATCTGGTCCCCTCGTCTAGCATTATGTTACCGTACTGTAGATCATTGTGGCAAAAATCAAGACTATTTTAGTAGCCGACATAACATTATCGTACCGTTCCTAAAAAAAATATGCAATAATAAGTTGGATGTTACAAAAAGGTGCCATGAAAAATTGGGTAGAGAGAGATAAAACAAGCCACGTTGAAAATATAGGAGTTAGAAACATGGCTATATGTTAACATTGAGGCGCATAGTGCTTGTGGCGGGGGCGGAAGATATAGGGGTATCCTGTGTCCAACCCATGCATACTAGCTACTCCTATATAGTAAATTTTGAGGCATTTTTTTTGTCTGTCAAGCCTAGATATGATTGTCCCGCCCCGCCCTCGTACTCCAACGCGCGCGCCCCACCTCGCCTAGCCCTCATTCTCCCACGCGGACGCCCCTCGCCCCACCCCACCCCACCCGCGTTCTCCTGCGTGCCGCCCGTCCCACCCGCATTCTCCCACACGTGTGCAAATTTTTGTTGTTTAAAATTTTTTTTTTTAGTTTAAAGGTATTTTTGTCACCATTCTTTTATTCCTCCATGTTGGATGTTCATTACAAAGGTGAAGCCATAAAATCAATCAATTTTTTTTTTTAAAAAAATTATTTTATTAATAACAATCAAAAGGTAGGATGGAGAATCTTATCGATTCCCTCAAAGTACTCCATCAATTTCTCTTATTTCCCCAATTTTATATGATCCACATCTTACCTTGTACATTTTTTTTTATTATTTTTTATTTATATTTCTGCTTTCAACGAAGAAGTCATGAACATAAAGTCACGACAATTAGTCTATAACATCTATTTCAAAACTTTGATAAGAAACGTATATTTTTATCGATTTTAAACTATGTTATTATGTTATTTTATGATACTGCTATTTACAATTTAAATAAATATTTATACACAATAATGATTACACATATATATATAATAATAATGATGTTATGTTGAAATTTAGATGTTAGGAATAAGGTTGAAAGGTGGTTAAGAATATCCAAAATGAGATGCCCTTCGACTATGGATTCAAACCTAACAATTGTTTTATGTCAAGCAACAAGGTTCCTTTACCAATACACGCAATGCCATCAAATTTAATTTATAAGTCATCATGATTCAATGTATATAAAGATTCTATTTTTCCTACTTTTTATAATAATAATAATAATAATAATAATAATTCTCCTAATCCTTTAAAATATGGTAAGAAAAAATAATCTTAAAAAAATAGTTGAAGAGGACAAAACAAACATGGTAAATTTAAATTTGTAAAGGAAACGAACATGATCACAACAAATATCCTTCTACCCTCCAATTCTGAGGTTACTACCATGTTAATATTCAGCGAGTGAGATTCATGAACAAAAATGACTGCAAATTTATGTCAAGCAAAAAGGATTACGTTTCTGTTAGAAGAGAAGAGGCCACAATTCTATGTACTCTTGTTTACACATAGCCGCCGCACCTGATGATCAAAGGTACTGAGGTAAGTAACTCTTTTATTTTAAATCTGTAAAGATTCCAACTTCATTTTTCCTGAATTATCATACATCTTCATACACTCTGAAGAGGGAAACCCTTGAGCTGAGGAATTCGGAAAGCAAGCTCTTCGGAGTTCGCTGTAACGAGCGATATCAAAATTCTGAACCTCCATCAGGCGTTTCTGCTTCGACCTAAACCGGCTTTGGAAGAAGCCTTGGAATGAAGGCTCCCTCGAGGTCTTGAGGAAGAATGTATAGCCAGCAATGAAGTAAGCTGAGGTGACATAGAAGCAAATTGGCTCCATCACATCCCATGTGAGCTCCCAGAAGGTGAGCCTCATGAATGCAGCCGTTTGAGCAACCAGGAACCCCAATCCACACCAGAGCTCCCGTCGTACAAACGTTTTGGCTTTTTCGTCGATTGCAGCTTTCTGCATCTCCATTTCTTCCAGCTCTTTCCTTCTAGCACCATTTGGAATAACTGCTGGTAAGGGAATCAGGCCTTCAATGGCTTTAGCTACCTGTAGTCAAACAATATGAAATATCTGGGTAAAAACTCGCCCTATCTACCATACTGATAGGCACTTCTAATGGTTCATTATTGAAGCTAAACTTGGTCACCAGCTACCCAATACACAGTATATTTTTAGCAATAATCAGATCATAATTCAGAAAGAAGGGGGCTGGATAGAAAATAGCACCAACTGCAAAAAAAAATACAGCAAATATATAGAGGTTATTCATAAGATAATTTTGAAACATGGGGGCGGATCAAAAATGGTATAGCTGTTTTAGATGTTCTAGGATGAAAATTTTTCAAAGTTTATAGAAAACTTTGGGAAGAGAACATCTGCTGCCATAAACAATGGTGTAAACCGATTTTTAAATTACATTACTTTCTTGCCAAAAGAAATTGGTCCCTTCTTAAAACCTTAGCTCCAGAAAATTCAAATATTGCAGACCCTCCAGCCTCTATGACCCCAGTCCTTGATCAAATTAGACACTGTTTTAACTATAGGTAATTTGAAAAAGCCTACACATCTTTAAATATGCAAGACCAGAACGTCTAAGATCAAAACAAACTTCAATGGCCTCCCCTCCTGAACTTGTTGTCTTCTCCACGTTTCTCTCTCCCTTTCTTTCACCCTCTCTCTCCCTATGTAGCTGTATATTTTTCTGATAAGATTATGTTGTTTATACTAAACTATACCCTTTCCCGGCTACCAAGGAAGTTGAAATTCAAGGCCATTTTCATTGAATCAGAATTATGGTCATATTTTGGTAGCTCTAAGAAACCAGTACCCAGCTACCATAACACACGCCTCCCTTCTCCCTACCCCTACTACACCAAACAGACCCCTGGGTGTTCCATATCCACTGTAGCTAGAAAGTATAACAATCTTGTCACCGAATGAATTGAAGGGCGTCTATATGATCCTTCAGAGATAAATCATCTCAAACGTGGAACCACTTTTCACGTTTTGGATCTGGCCTGTGGAAGAAAGAGAGAAAAAAAGAAAAAAAAGAATAACCAAAAAAGAATATCAGTTATCGGTAGTCTCCAGGCTTGAATAGAATTTAAAATTAAAGATCTAGAAAAACAGGGAACCTATTCGGTAAGCAGCATCAAAATCTGTAGAACTCAAAGGCAGAGCGTAACGAAAAATATCTCTAATGCAATTAAAAACAAGTAAATTAAATTCACAAATCAAGATGGGAAAGCAACAATCACCTGTTCAGGCCAGAGGTACACCACGTTCCCTAAGACAATCACAGTCCCTGATTCATCAAGCATTCGAGCAATTTCAAGACCCTGAACGGGATCATCACATCCCTGACAACAAACCCTAACGAATTCTGAGTAGGGAACCCATGATTTCTGAATTTCTCTCAGCTTCCACTTCACCATCTCGATCCGCGCTACCTTGAGCAACTTTCTCGCATCCTCAACCGTCAAACCATTTTTCACATTACACCTATCCGAATCCAAAGCCAGCGAACCGCATGCAGGAGGACGAAGGCAATCGAGGCGGATACGATCAGGAGCAATCCCTAGAGATTTGAACTTCTCCACCATGTTCCCCGCGGCCGCCAATTCCCGGAGCTCCGGCGAGATTGCCGGCTGAGAAACCGCTCTCTTGTGAAGAAAGCGACGAAAAACTGCATTATCTCCGGGATCATGAGCAATGTTGGCAGTACTGGTAGTGGGAGGAACACGAGCCCCAGGCGACGAGGACGAAATCCGGCATTTGGTGAGGGATTGTGAGGAGATTTGGGATATGTTAAAGAGACGATGAGCTAGGGTTTTGTTGAACGCCATTGATGAACAACACAAAGCAAAGAAAGGATTCAATAACAGCAAGAAGAGGAAAGTATATGGAAAAACGAGGATCAGAAAGATCCCTATGTCGATTCTTCTTCAGATCAAATTAATAGCAGAGAACATTCACGGAGACGCTTCACCACGATCGTCCATCCATCGCCAACGCCCAAATTTATAGGTCCTTCCGCTGCCCTCCAATTCTGTTCATGATTATATTGTTCTTTTAAAAAAGGAAAATTGCTTTCTGTTTTTTTTTTTTTATTATTATTATTATTAATCCAATTATTTAGGAGAGATAAAACCCTCACCAAAAAAACATAGGGGAAAAAGACGCGATATTTCGGAAAGCATGATGTACACGACAACGAATTAAAAGCTTCGCATGCGTGCTTTATAGCCACGTGGCGTTATACAGATCGGATCATACGATATATTACGAAACGAGATAAGTTTTCCGAGATTTGATCAGCTGTGCTAACATCTACTTGTACTACTCTATTACCTTGTCCATCACCATACACGTAGAATCATGATTTTGTATTAATTGAAAGAATAGTATTAGGCGCACATGACTCTTCATAATTGTATAATAGTATGATATTGTTCATTTTGAATATAAGTGCTCATGACTTTGCTTTGAGCTTACCCAAAAGACCTCCTCTATCATTTTTTTTTTCCGGGTAGAGCATTAATAATAATACTCAAATTAAGTGTTATTAGATTGACATGATTAAAGAGAGATTGTTGTAGAATGACGATGGTCTTCTAATGATTCAACTGCTCTTATTCATCACATTCCTATTGGACCGCATGCTATTAGAGAATGGGTTGATATACCAAGAAAATGCAATGCCTATTTGTGGCGGCCTACATCAAAAATGATATGTAATTGTGAATTTCAAAATTAATCAAGAGTAAATTAATCGAGGAAAAAAACTATACTTCATATAGCAATGACCAAGAGGTATAACGAAATTTATATAAAAAAATAAATGCTATCAAATATGCATTACGATAATTAAAATAATCATAATTGATTCATTATCTAGACCTAGGATAAAATTGAAGTTATAAATACTATATTATATCATTAAAAAAATGCTACTATAAGTTAAAGATAGTATACTCTTTATTATAGCTTAATAAAAAAATGCTATAAAATATTTTCATAGCTTATACTATATTGTAGCATTAGCTATAAAAAGTCTCAGACTTTTAATAATATGGGTTGTCATGACGTAAAGCCTACCAAGTAATAAAAGTCTCAGTCAAGCCAATCTCAGAAATAGAATAGAGCGTCGGTTAAGGCCTACCAAGTAAATAATCTTACTATCGGCATGGTTATATTTGATATTAACACGTATCTCGTGGTTCTGCACGTGTCATATACATTGATGTGTGAATTTGTTTATAGATCAATATGCTTATGACATGATATGTATATGTTATAATATGTGAATTGTATGATAATACTTGTGGTACGATGTGCTCAATGTTATGTTTGAGATAGGATACGAGAAGGATGCACTAAATGTAATGTAATGTAATGATAGGAGTAAAATATGTTCATGAAACGTTAAGGTTAGGTTACGTATCGAAGTGTTATGGACATGAGAGATTGATAAAAAACGATATGGTCATGATCGATTGATAAAAGAATATGATTAGGTTATGGGTAGAAAGGGATAAGATTATGATAGATTGATAGAACGATAGCGTTAGGATACGTTTTTGTAACGATATGACTAAGGTACGTTCATGTAACGATATGATTGTGATGGGTATAAGAATGTTAAGGCTATGATAAGTTAGAGAACAATATGACTGCAAAGTGTTTATGATATGATATGATTATGATATAAAATATGTTATGGTACGAGATATGTGATAAATTGACATGTTTACGAACTAGCATGAAATACAACCTCGATGTATGCATGAAAGATATTATAAACGAAATGTGAAATAATATGAAAAACGACATGATATATACAAAACATTAACGGGGTTGTATTAAATGATAATGAAAATGGAAAAATGTTGGGACCTCATGCATTATTATGCGCTCATGCATTGGGAGATACCCCTTACCCTTCACAATAGTACGGACGTGTACGTTACGAAGCAGGAAAATGATCGTTATGGTTATCATAATGCTACGACGGTCAGGCATGAGAACGATCATTATGTTTAACCTAATGTTGCTGTGATGATTACTAGTTCTAATGGGTGTCTGGCCTAAGAAGCTCCCAAAGTATGCTCGCCTGACAAGGAACGTGGTACGGCGGTGTGGGAACTGACTGGTGAGTTCATACTCGCACATATGGGCTGTGAGTAGAGTATATGGTACACGTCCAAGTTATCCGTTAAGATAGTGCCGTAGAAAAATAGACTGATATGATAGGTCCCGTCATTGCATTCACATGGTTTTGCATTAACCCCCAATAGTGGGGTCACTTATTGAATATTTCTTTAATTACTCAAGCTGCTACTTCTATTTCAGATTAAGGCAAGACATTCTTGTACGGCTGACGACAGCATCGCAACTCGAGACCGTGGAACATACATAGGGTAGTCATATTTATTTTCTTAGACATAGGCTAGAATATGATATTTTTAATTTAAAAGTTTATTTATTTTCTTTAATCTTTTGTTGTGTCGTTTTTAAAAGTGTTTTCAAAACACGCAAGTTCATGGCTGTGTTTTAAGATGAAAGCGATGTTTTATGAAAGTTTAATGAAGTATTTTCGCACTCAATGTTCATAATATGTAGCGTTCTTAAATTAAGTAGAAAATTTTGAGTCTTACAAGTAGCACATGACTCAAGTATTTTAAAATAATCAATAAGTAAGTTCACTATTGGAGTTTGTGAAATGCAATTACATACAATCATTGTGGGACCTATAAGTAACCTTGAGTTGGAAAATGCTATCACATGCAATCATTATGAAACCAATTCCTTTCAATAAAAAAATTTCTTGGTCAAAATGCAATCACATGCAATTCAAACCTTCCTTTTTGGTTTTCTTATAATTTGTTTTAGCCGGCAAAAATTTGTTGTATTTTGTAAGTTATCATGTTTTTTAAAGAATAAAATTTGGATCGGTTTTTTCGTAAGTCTCATTAGTATGTGATGGTATGGACTCGAGTCTTTAAAAAAGGCGTAAATGTAATGTAATGTAATGTAATGATAGGAGTAAAATATGTTCATGAAACGTTAAGGTTAGGTTACGTATTGAAGTGCTATGGACATGAGAGATTGATAAAAAACGATATGGTCATGATCGATTGATAAAAGAATATGGTTAGGTTATGGGTAGAAAGGGATAAGATTATGATTGATTGATAGAACGATAGCGTTAGGATACGTTTTTGTAACGATATGACTAAGGTAGGTTCATGTAACGATATGATTGTGATGGGTATAAGAATGTTAAGGCTATGATAAGTTAGAGAACAATATGACTGCAAAGTGTTTATGATATGATATGATTATGATACGACATGTGAATGACGTATATATATATATATATGTTGTGATATAATATAAAAATGATATAAGATATGTTATGGTACGAGATATGTGATAAATTGACATGTTTATGATATAATATATTGGGATGCTATATGTTATGATATGATATATATACGATGAAAATTGTTATGTCTGGAAACATGAAATGTTATGATATGATATATTTATATAATTTGAATATGATATGTTTGACATGCATAACAACGGACTAGCATGAAATACAACCTCGATGTATGCATGAAAGATATTATAAACGAAATGTGAAATAATATGAAAAATGATATGATATATACAAAACATTAACGGGGTTGTATTAAATGATAATGAAAATGGAAAAATGTTAGGACCTCATGCATTATTATGCGCTCATGCATTGGGAGATACCCCTTTCCCTTCACGATAGTACGGATGTGTACGTTACGAGGCAGGAAAATGATTGTTATGGTTATCATAATGCTACGACGGTCAGACATGAGAACGATCATTATGTTTAACTTAATGCTGCTGTGATGATTACTAGTTCTAATGGGTACGGCCTAAGGAGCTCCCAAAGTACGCTCGCTCGACAAGGAAAGTGGTACGGCGGTGTGGGAACTGACTGGTGAGTCAATACTCGCACATATGAGTTGTGAGTAGAGTATATGGTACACGTCCAAGTTATCCGTTAGGATAGTGCCGTAGAAAAATAGACTGATATGATAGGTCCCGTCATTGCATTCAAATGTTTTTGCATTAACTCCCAATAGTGGGGTCACTTATTGAATATTTCTTTAATTACTCAAGCCACACGCTACTTCTATTTCAGGTTAAGGCAAGACATTCCTGTACGGCTGACGACGACATCGCAACTCGAGACCGTGGCACATACATAGGGTAGTCATATTTATTTTCTTAGACATAGGCTAGAATATGATATTTTTAATTTAAAAGTTTATTTATTTTCTTTAATCTTTTGTTGTGTCGTTTTTAAAAGTGTTTTCAAAACACGCAAGTTCATGGTTGTGTTTTAAGATGAAGGCGATGTTTTATGAAAGTTTAATAAAGTATTTCCGCACTCAATGTTCATAATATGTAGCGTTCTAAAATTAAGTAGAAAATTTCTGAGTCTTACAAGTAGCACATGGCTCAAGTATTTTAAAATAATCAATAAATAACTTCACTATTGGGGTCCGTGAAATGCAATCACATACAATCATTGTGGGATCTATAAGTAACCTTGAATTAGAAAATGCTATCACATGCAATCATTATGGAACCTATTCCTTTCAATAAAAAAATTTCTTGGTCGAGATGCAATCACATGCAATTCAAACCTTCCTTTTTGGTTTTCTTATAATTTGTTTTAGCCCACAAAAATTTGTTGTATTTTGTAAGTTATCATGTTTTTTAAAGAATAAAATTTGGATCGAGTTTTTCGTAAGTCTCATTAGTATGTGATGGTATGGACTCGAGTCTTTAAAAAAGGCGTAACCTCATTATTTTAATAAATAATTACAAATATAATATGGTTTGAGTTTAATTAATTTTATAATCTTCTAAATTAATCTTGTATTCTTCTAATTAATAGTGGACTTAAATGTTAATATAGAGACAATCACTATACTTTGTTGAATTTCAAATATGAGTTTTGAGTTTTTAGAACCTCTCGGATCTATCGTTGTAGGCATCAAC